GGATAGATGGTTCTCATATTGCCCCTCAATCTTTTAATGCGTGATTTTAACATACATCTGATGCATTTAATCCATTCTGACAAAGTGTCAAGGTCTTCTTTTTCATGTCTGGCCAATCGCCTGGCGTAGTCCTCTACAGAATCCATAATATTTATGAAATTCCGACGCCAGTTAAAGGATCGGGGTTTCCTAAATTTAGGACCTTTTAAAATTTGTGATCTAAGGTCCTCATTATTAACTATATTAACGTCACCAGTAATAACGTGTCCAGCAGGACTATAGTTATAGGGCGAAGAAGAACATGGACACGATGAAGGATTATGTTTCAGATATTCGATATCCAGGCCCTGTAAAGTTTTCTTGTAATTAAAAGAATGCGCCCATACTTTATCCACATTGGATAAACCACGCTCCTGAGACAGAGAACTCGGATTGTGATTGGTCACCATACTAATCGTGGGAAGGGATATCCTTATCCATCCATCCTATTGCGAGATTTGGCCATTTCTGACAGATGGACTGTTCTTGTTATAAAAAATAACTTGCATGGTAAGAAATATAAGACTCGGAAAAGTCTCTTAGCTTCTTTGAACAGACTGCTACGGAGCATGTCACGTGACTGCCTGGATCACGTGATTCGCGCATGGGCAGAACAATGGCAGATGCATTATATGTGCATTAAAATCGGAGAGTACTACTTTAAAAAATAATAAACACAGAAATGAAATAAAATGAAACCTCATTTTGTTTCTTTTAAGGACGTTATTCAATTAGTTCGCGAACTTTTTGATCACCCCTCATATCTAAAATTGTACAACTCTTTAATTTTTCGAATATCGTTTGCAAATAAGGCTATGGAACAGTCAGGAACAGTAATAGGGGACTGAGGCCAATTAGAATAACACACAATAGAGGTGCCATGTACACAATCTGTCAAATCCTTTGAAATTAAAGACAAAAAATAATCATGATGAGGAGTGATTGCAAAATAATCTGACAAGGACAGAAGTTGTGTAGCTTGCATCTTAGAGGTAGCATTTTCTGAGGTCGGTACAGGCAGACTGATTACTTTATATATATTTAGTGGAAGTCTCTGAGAAGAAATTGGAAATTTTACTGTGATAAACAGGTTATTTTTTATGTCTAGCAAAAAAAAAAAAAAAAAAAAATCCACCTGAATAGTAAAATGAGGCATCGAGTTGAACCAAATAAAATTTCTGGTATGACTTTCGAAGTTTGTGCCGAATATTAGAAATCACTTTTGACAAAATGTGTTTTGGAATTAAAAATGGACTAATTTTTCCTTCTAAGAGACTTTCTACTGCATTTTCTAACTTAGTGAATTTGGATCTAAGTAATGTAGCTTGATTCACCTGATTCACAAGAATTTCTGAGACATTTGTAAAAGCAGCTTCAAGATTGAACAATTTGTTGTTAAAGGCAGTTGCTACATTAGTTATATATTCAGATTTGGATTTTATTCCATGTACTAAATTTTTCATCCGTTTATCTGTTAGCGAGATAAAAGAGGAAAGATGGGAATCATGCTGTTTTAACGCTTAAGCTTATGTTTCGGTTTTCCTATTTAAAGCATTGATATGACCAACTAAAATATTAACGTCATCCATGGTCGCTTTACCAAATATACTTTTTGACAAAGATCCAATAGAAGGCAAAAGGACACGTGTTTTTCGTTGACTATTTGTAAGCTTGGTTTGAGGGATCATGTTCCGAATAGATTGCATAGTTTTATTAAAATGTAAAAGAGTTTCATCATGCAGACCATGGATAAAGTTAGCCATTTAGTAACAAGCAAGAAGAGATTCTATGAGTATTACTAAGTGAATAAAAAGGAACCTTTTTGAACTTAAATCTTTTTGGCAAAGGAATATGAAATGTATGCAGCCAGTATTCTTGAGATAACATGATTTTCGACTGTTCTTCAAAAATTACACCATAGCTAATTCGCTGTACCACATTGGTAGAAGATGGATCCACTTGACTTGCTTGGCCCATTACCATACACAAGGATAACATCATGAATATCCCAATCATATAATGTTGAATTCCAAAGCTCCCGACAAAGTCATGAAAATGGAAAAAAGACTATTAAAGGTGTGATGATTATGTCATGAAAAGATGAACCGATCGTTATTCAAATTTTCTAGCACTAATATTACTGAATGAAATTTACAAAAAAAAAAAAAAAAAAAAAAAAAAAAAAAAAAAAAAAAAAAAGGGGTGACTACATCACATCAGTAATACTTTGTTCGAAATTTTTGAAAATAATTTAGAAAAAAATTAATCAAAATAATTAAAAATTTAATTTATGGCTAGCCGTTAGGAATTCAACACACATATTTGACCATCACATGTTTAATCCCAACCAAAAAAAAAAAGAAGCTAATTCAGAGAATTTGTGTCCCCCACTTAGGGAAAAAAGAAGAGCAAGCGCAGTTGGGGGGGGGGGGGGTCACACTGCCCCCCCCCCCCCCCCGTATTTGTAGAATTATTAGATGTATACATGTATATTGAAGCAAATTTAAAAAAAGCCAATATGGATATAAAGATTTAATTGCTTATTCTTTAATATGTGTACATAGAAGATTATTTTTTAATATATACAGAATATTTATCACACTGTAATAATGATTTTATGAGTTTGTACACGCCAGACATCATAACTTTTTCATTTCACATGTTGAATAGTATCATTGAGTAAATCCAAAAAAAGAAAAAAAAGGAAAAAAAAACCATTTAAAAAAGAAAGAGAATCGTCCGGGGATTGAACCCTGGCCTCTCGCTTGCTAAGCGAACATCATACCATTAGACCACAGAGACACTTGATTATACACATATAATGTTTATTTTCACGTTCGATATTGTCAAAATTTTAGTCAATACATGGTGTCTTATTTAGCCTTTACTAAACTAATATATGTAATTAGAATATAAAGTCCGCCGACAACCTGTATTATACGTAATTATTATTACACTCCACATGCCCCTGTGCTAAAAATAGTTCCAAGCGACTTTTAATACAATAAATAAATAAAATAAAAAAAACGGGGTGCGTAGTTAGAATAATCTAACTGTGTCTCGGGATGACCCTCACCACAGTTAGAATGCCCTCCATATACCCGTAATGTAGCAGAAAATTGCAGAATCGCTCCGAAACGATTTTGGAGAAAATTAATAAAGTTGCATTGAAAATAACAGTCAAATTAATCATAACAAACCTTTTTGAGACTGTAAATACCTTTCATCTAAAAATTTAATCCATATTATGGAAGAATTCAACACTTTTTCACCGACATTTTTTACTCGTTTCAAATTTACACACCATGTTGACATTCGGAACACTTGGGATTTTTCATAGTAAATGAACTGATTTAGAGTTATCTCCCGTATTTTCTTCTGCTACATTGACAATACACGAAACGCATTCTATCGTTAAACCGGGTCCGTAGGACATTTATCATTTTCTGTCTAGAGGTGGGACACTTCGAGAGGGGCGAGAGAGGCTATAGGGAGTTATGGTATAAAATTTCATTGCAAAAGCTCAAAAGCTTCTTCAGATATGGCCCGGAAACAAAAGTGTTACACACAGACGGAATTTATGAATTTATGACCTTGAACTTTGACCTTTTGACCTCAAAATCTATAGAGGTCTTCCTTAGGCCACAGGGAGTTGTCATGTAAAATTTCATTACAAAAGCTCAAAGAATTCGCGAGATATCGCGCGGAAACGAAAGTGTTAAAACAGACAGAATTTATAAAGTTATGACCTTGACCTTCGACCTTTGACCTCAAAATCAATACAGTTCTTCTTTAGGCAATAGGGAGTTGCTATGCAAAATTTCATTGCGAAAGCTTAAAGAGTTCTCGAGATATCGCGCGGAAACGAAAGTGTTACAGACAGACAGAAATACAGACGGACGGACGGACGGACAGGCGGACGGACAGACAGACCCAAATTAATATCCCCCACTTTCAGTGAAAGCGGGGGACAAAAAGAAGATATCTGGAGCTTATCATGGTGAGACAAAAAAAAATTGCTAATCCTACATGTTTTACCAACTGATTTACAGTAACTTATCATATGTTGTTTTTTTAATGACACCAGCCCGTAAATAAGAATATAAACCACTATGTAGTAAAAAAAAGTTTTGACATAGTGTTACCTCAATACTTAATGCAGTACAAAAAGTTTTGGTATTGTAAAGTAGCATTGAGCAATTAAAAAAAAAATATTACTTTTGTTTTTTATTGAAATGTTTTCTTTGTCCTCTTTTTATTAAAGACTTAATAATTCCTCTTAAAACAAAATTTCCTAACTGTGCCAGGTTTGGTAAACTTGCGATTTATCATCTCTAAGACCTTAGTGTCAAAACATTGATCTGGTTTCCAAGTCTTAGAACCATCTTCCCATTCAATGTAAATTTAAAGATAGTCATGTTTATATTTTATTTGTCAAAATAAAGTATATCAGGAAGGACAGTAGTAGCACGTTTCAGGGTCTGTACAATGCAAGATTTTTCGTTTCATATAACTATTGAAACAATGAGCGTTTTGTGATACTTAAGCCCTGTTCTATGTTCCCTGATGATTTATTGTTAAAAAATTCTTTGGTTTCTCACGATGAATAGTTTAATATATGTAATTTAATCGTCATAACCTTCATGGACGCTTTAAGAGAGCCCTTTAGATACTCCTTAGTCACGTGACTATAATACGTTAGTTAAGCAAATAAATTATGAAATGTAACAGAGGACACATAACTAGCCATTACTGAACAAATCAATTTGAAATTCATTGAGGGGCAAAAAAAAAAAAAACAGCCTCATGGAAACCTGTTCTTTTCCCAAATGTTCCTTCCATGGATTTTCAAATCTGTCAATAAGCAATCCTCTTTACACATCAATAGCCAATAACCTCACATTTACCATGAAGAATAGCATTGGATTTCAACATCATTTTTTCATAAAAGATATCGCATCATGCGTTTAGTTATACCTCGGGTAAAAATGAATAAAACATTACGCCATTCTTGTACGTTATTTCAATACATTTCCAATTAATATTTCAACGGTCCCTGAAATTCAAAAACAATTTGTAAAAAATCAATCCTCACGTAAAAGGTGTGCTAACATTTAGATGTCATTATACATAAAAGTGTCAAACATTTTCAACATTCATAAATGACAATGGTACCGGTATTGAAAACCATTAAGTTATACGCAAGTATAAATGATTACAATAACTAACATGCATGTACATATATTTGATATCAGAATAACCCACGTTGTCAGAATTTTAGAATAATTTGGCAAATTATCAACGTGTCAAGCTAAAATTTAACCCCTCGTAAAGTACAGAATTTAATTTCGCTGATAATCAATCATTTTATTTTTGCAAGTTAATATAAAAACCACCCAGTTTTAAGTGCAATGGCTTTAAAAGCAATATTTTTTTGAAAGAATTATGATTGAGAATTTTTATTGTTAAAACAATGTAAATATACTTCTTTTTTTCTCTTTATATATCTCCCTTCTTCTTCTCTTCTATCTCCACTCTTTCTGTCCTTTACCAAAAATATTTTCCAAGTAATATATATATATATATATATATATATATATATATATATATATATATATATATATATATATATATATATATATATATATATATATATATATTAGGGATGGCAATCGATTACAGAATTGCTAATCGGTTAACCGCAAGACGTTCCGACCGATTAACCGGTTAATCGTATCAAAATACTCATATGTTTCACATTTTTAATGACTCGTTTCATATTCACAAGAATGCTAAAAGGACTTTAGAAGTTAGAAACATTTTGTTTATTACTTTGATCAGGAAACTATATTGTACCCTTTTTTTTCCAATTTTAAAAGACAAGAAAAAATTGAGAAAACCATGAATTTTGCATGAAAAATCCGACACGGATTTTCCAGTGCAGATATCATACAAGTTCATTCTGCATTGTCACCATAATCAAAACTGTTCTTGAACATTCACTTATTTACAATGTTTTTCTAATGATATAATTTAAAAGATAACGGCAAAAGCCGGACATACTAATTAATAGTGCTCAATGGTGATTTATTGAACATCATTTACAGGACAGTCGGGGTAACGACAAAGTTAATTTACACTTCACAAACTGACCAATTACCCCGCGATCTCAATCCGAGAGCCATAATTACCTCTAAATTAGCTGTATAATAAGATGAGTAAAAACACTAATTTATCAACTTTGATGCATAGGTTACCGTTCTAAAAATAAAAAATAAATTAAAAAAAAAAGAAAACTGCGTTCAAAACTACATGTATTTTATTTTTTCCGACTATCCAATTACAGATTTTCTAACCGATTACCATCGTTCCGACCGATTAATCGGTTAACCGGTTACAAATTGACATCCCTAATATATATATATATATATATATATATATATATATATATATATATATATATATATATATATATATATATATATATATATATATATATATATATATATATATATATATATATTTAAAAAAAGAAAAGAAAAAGACACATTGCATTGGAGGGTTGCAAATTTTAATCCTATACTGGACACTCAGGGCCATTGAGCTGTGAAGGATTTTTTTCGTGCCAGCACCTGCGAAGAACCGGACTCCACGTCCCACAGTAGGATTTGAATCTGCGACGTAAGGATCAACTCTTTTCTTCACGACTATAGAACAAACGCTCTTACCAGAGTGCCACGAGGGCTACCATACAAACTGCTACTCAACCATTTCTAATTTTAGGAAGAAAAAGTCTTAACCTTGTGTGAAAAAAGCAAATAAGTGTTTTACAAAAAGAAAATTTAATTTAAGAGAAATTTCTTTTGTAGTCTGAGTGTGAGACAAGATGTTCAAATCTGGTGGAAATAGAAACTAAAGAAGAATCTGATTGGCTGGCTCAGACATTCCTTTTAAAAGGTTATTCATATGTTACTGAAGACTAATCTGATTGGCGGGCTGAGACATTTCTCTTTAAAGGCTAGTTATATATTATTAAAGAAGAATCTGATTGACTGGTTGAAACAGTTGTCTTTAAAGGTAAAAGTAAAGATAACAAACAATGTTCAATCTCATAAATCCGCGTAACAAAACAAATCGTGAATAGGGCAGAAACATCAACCTCTGGACACCTCAGACGTGGGATCAAATATCAAGGAGGAGTAGGCATACCCTGACAACAAGGCACATAATCGTAAGCCCAAATTATTGATGAAGTTTACTCCGGAGTCAAATTAAGTATAAAACCAGTGACCCAGGAAAAGGTATGAAATATGTCAGAGAAAATACGAGCTAGCCATAAGTTGTATTTAAAAACAATGTCATTTTAACAACCGTATAATTTGCTAAAAGCTGACTTTAAACAAGATTGTTAAAATCTTTGTGAATCAACTTATTTATTTGCTTGCCGCCCTTTCTCCATGAAGGCAAGTCATGACTTTGTTAAATAAGAAGAATCTGACTGACCGGCTGAAACATATGCTTTCGATTGATTGTTTGATTAATTGTTTGTTGTTTAATGTCCCCTTCGAGAATTTTACACTCAAAGAGAGACGTTACCATAAACCGGTGAAGGGCTTCAAATTCAGACTTTTAATCGGCACTCAGGGTCATTGAGCCGTGAGGGATCTTTATCGTGCCGACACCTACCGTGACACTGGGCCTAGGTTTTTAAGGTCTCATCCGAAAGACCCGCAACTTTCACTCCAATGTGCTGAGAGCTTGGCGAAGGAACAGTTGCTACCTATTTTTTTTATTGACCTAGGTCAGTCGCGGCCGTGATTCGAACATACGACCTTCCGATCAAGGAGCGAGCGCTCCACCGACTGAGCTGCCGTGACGATTATATATGTATGCATTTGAAGGTAAGTCCTTCCTTACTTCAGAAGAATTAAAAAAGTGAAGATAACTAGCGGTGATCGGTCTCAACTAAACCTACAAATAAAACAAATCCTGGGATAGGGCATAAATCACGGAACCCTGAAATTTCAGAGGTGGGATCTGGTGCCAAGGAGGCGTAAGCATTCCATGCCCACCACCCGCCAGGATATTTGTCCTTCGATCAAATAGACATGGTAACCCGTAGTCAAATTTTGTATAAAAATGAAGGCCTAACAATGGTATGACATATGTCAGTCAACATGTGAGCTAATTATAGGTTGTATTTGCTAACAAGATCATCATAGCGACCACAGAATTAACGAAATGCCGACCTTTTACCAGTTTATTGAAATCCCCGTAACATCAAGTTACCTATTAGTAGGCCGCCTTGGTTGAGAAATTTATTGTAATCAGAGCATGCTTTTAAGTATCGAGTAAGTTTGGAGACATACATGTGTAAACACCATATGCAGGTGATAGTGAAATATTTCTACATAAATGTAATAAGAAGAGTTGACGATGAAAGACTGAAGTCATATCGTTTGTCATACAGTTGAGCTTTTAGTTGGACCTTTATCGTCTATCATCAGTAAAAATATCAATTTTTGAAGCAGATGTGGCAGACCCTGCGGTGTCTTGTACTTCAAATTTAATGAGATATGTCGAGGCAAAATTGGAATGGATGTAACAAATGTTAATTGATTAAACGACGTCGAAACATATAGATCTGAATGTCGAGTTGAAAGAAACATCATGTCTTCTTCTTCTGTAGAAGTTTTTGAGTTAACTCTTCTTCATAGAAATAGTCGGCAGGGAAGCTCGATCGGTAGAGTGCTCGCTCCGTGATCGGAAGGTCGTGTGTTCGAATCAAGACTGACCTAAGTCGATAAAAAATAGGTAGTAATTGTTCTTTCTCCAAGTGCTCGGCGCTTTGAAGTGAAAGTTGCGGGTCCTTCGGATGAGACCTTAAAAAACTAGGCCCCATGTCAAGTAAGACGTTTGCACGATAAAGAACCCTAACTGCTCAATGGTCCTGAGTGCTGAGTAAAGGTCTAAATTTGAGTCCATTCATTGGTATATAGTTACGTCTCTATATGTGTAAAAAAAATCGAACGGGACGTAAAACAACACACAATCAATCAATCAATCTTCATAGGAATATAAAAACATATCGGCTAATAATGGAGCACATTTAGTGTCCATCGAAATTTCAACCGTATGTTGGAAGACTCCCAAAGACTACAAAGATGTTGTCTATGAATATCAAGCATCCTTTTAATATCAATACCAGAGTACTTGTGTGTAAAATCAGAGTCTGATTGACTGGCTAAGATATTTCTGCTTAAAAGTAAGTCAGGAGTTTATTTATAATAATAAGCAGCAACCAAAGCATTTTTTCAATTCCAAAATGTTGTTGAAGATTTTTCATTTTTTATGTTTTCAAAATATATCGCCTCAATAAAGAGTAAAAGTGTTTTAGATAACAGACCAATTTAGTCTTGTGCTAATTTATAAAAAAAACATTTATAAATAATAATCAGACGGTTCCCCTAGCTTTAAACTTATGCAATAATGGATAAAATTCAATGAATTTAGCAATTTTTGTAATATACATAGTTATTACTTTTGAGTCCATCCCATAGTGTTTGGTTCACACATACAATTGAGAGTTACATATTTACAAATTAAATCGGGTAAACCCTCAAAATCTTTTAAAAACTACTCAATGAAAAATGGCATTACACAAACAAACTTTGATCGCAGACTTTCTTGTGTAACTCAAGACCGTAAATTCCAGATTTATATACAAGGATCTATATGCTGTTTATTGAATGTGTTGAAATCACTTGGTTTGTTAAATTTCATTATATACGTGAATTCATTTGTAAAGAAATATTTATTCCAGAAACGTGTCCAAGTTACATTTATGTCTGCGTCGCTTGGACTGGTGGTAACGACAGAAGAATTGAAGGTAAATATCAATGGAAGGATGGTAACCTGTCCATGACCTTCACAAACTGGGCTAAAGGTGAACCAAGCATTGGATATCCTAATCAGGCAGAGGAAAAAGATTGTATTGACCTATTAACAAATGGAAAATGGAATGATAGGCCCTGTTCGTACAAAAGTCAATACATATGTGAAAAGTCTTCTGGCTAGTATTTTTAGAACTGGTCTTTGGCAATCCATTTTACAAGTTATTGTATTCATATTAATTTAGGGAACATATTTTAAACGGAAATGAAAAGGAAAGATCATCTCTTGAAGGAACCTAAAAAAATACTTTAATATTCATTCGAATTTTGTGTTTCTATTACATTGTGAGAGTTTTATCTTTTATATTTGTAAACGTGTTACCATTATGTAGGATCAAATTGATATTCACAGAGACTTTTTAGAAGGGGAAAAAGACACCTATTTAATCCTTTCTTTCACATATTGGAAGTTGTACTTTTTGAATCTGTTTGCACTTTATTTGCTCTAAGTCTTTTCATATGCATATTTTTATACAAAGAAGGAACAAAAAATATGCATATGAAAAGACTTAGAGCAAATAAATTGCAAACAGATTCAAAAGTACAACTTACAGTTTGAAGCTGTACATCATACAGGGCTAAATCTGTATTTTATATTTATACAGAATAATTGAGATTCTTGGACATTCGTCCTCACTTTTTTGGTCTGCATCACTCAGGTGACCTACTGCTTCTGTTTTTGTCCGATGTCCTTCGTGCGTTGTGCGTCGTGCGTTAACATTTGAACATTTTCAACTTGTTCTCTGGAACCGCTGAACCAATTTTAACCAAGCATCTATTGGTGAAAGGGAACAAAAAGTGTAAATTTCATGGTCCCTGCCCTCCTGAGGCCTGAGGAGTGGGGCTAAAACCACCAAAATTAGTTGCAATCTTTAAAAATCTTCTTCTTTATTCCTGGACATCAAGCAGTCAAACTGTTGGTATGGTTGTGATAAGCACTGAGTCCTCTACCAAAGCTGTGAAATTGTGTGCTATATAGATCATATAGTGAAAGTGCATTATTTCTTTGAAAATCTTTCTTCTCTGCTCCTGGGTATTAAACAAAGTAACTAAGTACATAGCTATGATAAACAATGCTGCCTCTTCCAAATTGTTAATTTCATGGCCCCTGGGTCAGGGATTTGTTGTTGTTGTTTGGGGGGGCTGTATTGATTATATAGTGAAAATGCATTACTTCTTTGATAAAACTTCTTTTCTGCTCCTGGATATTAAACAAACAAACTTAGTATACAGTTATTATGAGGAAGGATGCCTCTTCCAAAATTGTGAATTTCATGGCCCCTGGCTCAGGGGTTCTGGTGTTAGGGCGGGGCTCTATTGATTAATGATTATATAGTGAAATGCATAAATTCTTTGAAAATCTTCTTCTCTGCTCCTTGGTATTAAACAAAGTAACTAAGTACATAATTATGATGAGCAAGACTGCCTCTTTTAAAATTGTGAAATTCATGGCCCCTGGGTCAGGGGTTCTGGTGTAAGGGCGGGGCTGTATTGATTATATAGTGAAAATGCATTAATTCTTTGAAAATCTTCTTCTCTGCTCCTGGGTATTATTTAAACAAACTAAGTACATGTTTATGGTAAGCAGGGATGCCTCTTCCAAAATTTTGGAATTCATGGTCCCAGGGTCGGGGGTTCTGGTTAAACGAAGGGGGGGGGGTATCAATTATTTAGTGAAACAGCATAATTTCTTTGAAAATATTCTTTTCTTCCCTGGTTATAAAGCAAAGAAACTAAATGAATAGTTATAATTAGCAAGAGATCTAGAGTTCCTTCCAGAATTATGAGTTTCATTGCCCCTGGACCAGATGTTCTTTGTAAGGGTAATGCTCTATTAATAATAATGTGAAAATGCATTAATAGTATTAAGGGGATGAAGGATACATGGTCACATGACTCTGTTTTACTACGTCATAGTCTCCGTTTATATAAGTGCAACACGTGTAAAGCATCAGTTCTTGTATAATTTTTTGACATTTTTTTTAACCTTAATTACCATCTTATATTAAAAAAAATTAAAAAGTTTTTACGTTCTTGTAAACATTAACAAATTATGAAAAAGATTTATCCACTCCTCTGTTTCCCTAAACTGGCCGTCCAACAAGTCGGTGACGTCATACACGATCTGTTAGTACAGCAAAATCATACTCGGTGAACACAGGGGCGGTATTATTATGTAAAAATAGGTCATAATCAGTATATGATGAAATGTTTTGAGAAACGGGGAACACAAAAATCATTTTTGCATGGCTGATGACGGAAATCTTATGTAGGTATATTTTCTTTCGCTTAGTTAGCTTATTTAGTGTAACGTCATAGTTGGTTTTTCCCGAACTCGAGAAATGTAACATGACATGTTTTTGTCATGCTTATGCCCTCTTTAACGATGTCCTGTGAAATAATGAGGTCAGCCACATCATTCGAAATTTTTACTGTTAATCAATAATTTGAAGGATTTGCATTTCAACGTAAATTAAAAAGTTTTGAATGATAGAATTTTTTGTAAATTACGTTTTTTTAAGTTGTCTTAAAAAGTGGGTAAATTTCCCTATCCAGATGCAGTGTGATAGACAAAACTTGCTTTTTCGAATTTTAAATCCTAGTTATACTCTGAAATATTTTAAATGATACATGTCCACTTTGATATTTTTATATATGCTTAAAAAATCCCATTATGGACAGATTTATGAGCCCGGAAACATGGAGAATTAAAACTCCACTTAGATACTGTAGGGCATAGTATTTGTCAATGAATATCTCCAAAATAAGGCAAGAAACCTAATGATATAACTGCTGTAAAATATGTGGGACATACTTAATTAGAAATATACAAAATATGAAAAGAATTGAATGACAAGTATTTTTCAGCTCAAGGTCCTTCTCCTCCTTAAATAATCATGTCTGCTCCTTATAGTGTTGAGCAGATAAACAAAGTGCATAGATATGATGAACAAAATTTATATAAAAAAAATTAAAACTTGTGTGGTTCCAGGGTCAGGGGTTCTGGTGTTTCTCGAGGGGGGGGGGGGGGCTCTATTGATAATTGATATATATAGTGAAAATGAGTAAATTCTTTGTAAATCTTCAACTAAATGCTTGCCTATAATAATGAGGGTGCCTCTTCCAAATTTCTGAATTTCATGACCCTGGGTCATGGGTTCTGATGTAAGAGTAGGGCTAAGTTGAATCTTTAGTAAAAATGCATTTTTCTGTGAAATTCTTCTCTGCTCCTGGGCATATCGGAGGTAAACAGAGTAAAAGTTTTAATAAGCAAGGATATTTTTACCAGATTTATGAACATCTGGACCGTTTGGTCAAGTGTTCTGGTCCTGGGCAGGGCTCTATTGATTAATTATTCTACTGAGAGAAGTTATTCCCCTTTGCAATTCACTTTTGATAATTAATCACTGTAAATAAAATATTTGAAAGGTTAATAGAATAAGAAAATTATGCAAGAATTATTACTGTATACTACTAAAAGTACTTTCATAGTTTTAATAATCAAATAGACTTGTACTTGATACATAAATAAAAATGAGACAAAAATAACTTATTAAATGTTCTTAAAAGACCAAGAAAGGCCAATGTGAGGCGATATAATATGGGGTTAAAATAGTACAGAAGCACAAATAGTTTGTTAATAGTTTGCATGGTGATAGTGATGAATAGGGGAATTAGAACTTACTTTATGAGTTGTTACTGATTACAAGACTAATTATATCGTTGATCCTGATCATCATATTTCTCTTGCTTTTGGGCAACAAAGCTTCATCTATCAGTTTATTTTATACTCTATGGATCCTCTAAATTGTTGTATTATACTCAGGTGACCCTTAAGGCCCTGGGCCTCTTGTATTTCCATTATAAACATACTTATATACATACTTTTTTTACAATCATAGTATCATAATAAATTATTCTGCACTAAAGTTGACTTAATTATTATTTGATTTAATTCACAAATGATAGGGATTTATGTCTCTCAGTTGATTCGATACGCAAGAGCATGCTCTACGAATGAACAATTTCTAAAACGAGGTAAGTTATTGACAAACAAGTTGATGAAACAAGAATATCAGCAGTCTTGTTTAAAGTCGTCATTTCATAAGTTCTATGGAGGATACAATGACCTTGTCAGCAAATACAATTAATCATTAAGTCAAATGCTGACTGATGTTTTTCATTATAAATGTCAGGCCATTATGTACACACTGAATTATCGACGGATTTTTCCGTTATTTCCCGATCATGACAAGGAGCACACGGCGTGTGTGACCGGCGACAGGGGATGCTAAGTCCTCCATGGCACCTGATCCTACCTCTGATGTTTTAGAGGTCCGAGTTTGCTCCAGCATTTGTAGTATTTAATGGACTTTTGAGCTTGAATACTGTTCGTTATTGCCATATAATTCATGACAGGAACTTCAAGTAAAATTATTGAAAATAACATCGCTTATATGAGCCTGGTCTCGAATAAGCGAATTTATTTCAGTAACCCTAGTAATGTTTGTGAATTCCATTAAATTTACATCCATTCGGATGAAAGCAGCTATGTTAAATGTGATCTAATAATCAATGTAAAATAGTAGCTATAAAATGGTAATGAAAGTAATATAATGACCTTAAATGATTAGATTCGTGTCGTATTTATTATCAGTTACATGGCATGTATGAGCTGTGTGTCACTTGACTGGTATAAAAATAGAATTATTAGGCTGAATTTAGAAAATGGCACTAGTGCAAGGGCATCTAGTTGTTTTTGGCCATAAAAATTGATACATATTAAAAGAGATTAACATCCTTTACCTGAAAAATGCTGGGAGCTAGTTTCTGTTGTTTGGAAAGTACTCGTAATTTTGCCGCGAATGCGTGTATAGCAAAAATGTTCCACTTTCCCCGTACGTCGTACTGAATTTAAAAACAAAAACTGCTGTTTTTGCTATTTCTTTGTAGTTGAAGACTGCTTGGTCCAGCATCCACAAAAGCTGATTTTGCATCGAATAATTTTATGTGTTCGCATATTCCATAAAACTTGTCTGCTGGGTCGAGCTTCCTCATCAGCTTATGTCGCGGTTGTGAATTCTGTGTGAATTCTGATTCCAAATCAACCTATGTCGTAGTGGG